CCCCACCCAAAAAAAAAAAAAAAGGGGATGTGGCCACATGGCCCAACAGGGGTGTGATGTTGATTGCCTCAGGCGGAAATGTCCACCAATAAGGCCAAAACGTCAGTCCCTGAATGTACGATCGGCAGATCGTCGCCGCTCCTGAATTTCATTATACTTACTACAATCGTGCATACCGGCTGATAATAACATTTCTGCTCAGCTAGAGTAGTAACAGATAAGATTACTTGGGCAAAATTCAGCCACCAATTAAATAATCGCGTTCGCGTTGAAGGCAGTGTTATGACGCTGTAGTACGTACTACATTGATAGCAAGGTGGTATCTACGTATGCAGTAGCTGACTGGCTTGATTGCTTAATTATACTAGTATTAGTGTCACGGTTAATGTCGGGAAGCCGAGGTGCTACTCCGAGTGGTCAACTCCGAAGTATGCCTCCCTACTATGATAGAGCGCCATTTGATTGGAACGATATGTCTCATACATTGGACCGAGATACTACTAGTATTGTTTACTTCGGTGCTAGTGTTATCGTCCTTGCTTAATGGTCGAAAATTAGTATCACTCTAACTACCAACTCTTTCTGATATCCAATCGATATATTTGCTCACAAGACTTCTACATGGAGATATATCCAACCCACCAAGTTCAAGACATATTCTTCTCTGGACCCAATATCCTTTTTTTTAAAAATTATTCATCACACTCTAACAGGGGTACGACGTTCGCTAGTAGAAGAACACCGGTTTAGGGAGGGGAGGGGAACCCCCAGTGTATCGCGTTTTAAAGACGACTAATATCATTGCATGCCTAAATGCCCATCAATCCTAATGTTAGATTCTTTCTAATACCACCTAAATCTAGCAAAGCGTAGGTATTGAGTTGAGTAGCCAGAAGAAATCCACAAAGGCACCTACCTGAATATTCTTACTACTCCATAGCTTGGAGCAACGGAACCTCTATTTGCAGATAATTGAGAATTTATTTTTCCAATGAAAGCGAAGTACCGCGGCACCCTACATATATCAAGGCTAGAAATGATAGCCCCACTCACTGATGCAATGCTACATCTAGCTATCAAGAGCCTATACTTGGAAGTGCTCCCTAGGCTTAGAGAATTTTAGAAGACCAAGTATCGCGGTCCTGCGCAATGTGTCTCGTCGTATCTGAATCGCACCGGAGATTGTCATAATATATGCTGAGCTATCTCAATACCCAAGCTCATAATTAGCAAAAATGATGATGCGGCGCATCTCCCAGGATGGCGGTCCATCCGACAACCATTATCTTGTCTTTGAGTTGGGAATTTCAAAGGACGTTAACTGGTTTGCTACCTCTAGAAGGGTTGGCCTCGCAGGTTCTAACTTCGAGTGGTCACAAGCATTTCTCGATGCTAAACTCTTCGACGTCTTCTTGGTCGAGGCAGTGTAAAGCCTAGCTTTACAGGACGCATCACACATGCCGCTATAATTTTGGACGTAAAGGCTTGCTTTGTGGTTTCGCACCACCTAATTTCTAAATGTCAAACATTAGCTCTTCTACTCTAGTATCAAATGGGTTAGCGATGTCGTCAGTACCATTCCTTCGAGCAACACTATCCTATCAAG